GGGGGGGGGGGGGAGGCACCGTCAATGAAAAAACATGCATCGTTCCGCAGTTGAACTGACTATCCTAGCGATCACGGAAGACTGTAAATGGTGGAGGCAAACAAAACAGAAATAATTCAGCGCCAGTACCTCGAGAGCTAGAGACTCCCGAACGGACCTGTATCGTCCAGAAGCCAGCCAGGTTTACCGGGAAGAACGATCTAGCGCTGTCCAGCCACCCTTCATCCTTGCCAGGGAAAAACCTAGCCAACCGCTGGTCCTCGCCTGACCCGAAGCAAGCACGGAGACCAAGAGCAGACGCAGAGTAAAACACGAGAGTACGCTGACGCAGGTGAGAGGAAGAGATCCACCAGCGCACCGGCGTACAGGAAACATGCGTAGACACGTGTCCCGTTCTGGCAGGTGACATCTGACTGGCCATGGAATCCACCCGCCACTCCTGACGGTCTTCTTGGCGACGACAGGAAAAAAGCGGGTGCGACACGCGCGGGCACTACTCGCGCCCCCGCGCACGATACCGCACCGAGGGGCTTGCATCATCAAGGACAAGGATGGTACATGCAAGCACAACGTCATCCAGTACTTCATGTCGGTCTTGATCTCCACATTGGCCCGGACATAACCAACCCGTCTTCGACGGCACCCTGCTCGGCAGTTTTGTTGGTTGTGTTCAGTACGTGTCTCGTTTTTTCCCCCTTGCCTTGGTCCATAAGGAGGACATCCATCTCACCTGTCTTGATAATCCGCGCGAAGAGGTACGATGCCAGCCTAACGCCCCATACCCCGACAGCCACGTTGAGCAACAGAGGCCGAATGGCCCCGCTTCGGAAGGACCCCGATTTCCTGGTACGGACGAATGCGGCAAGGTGCGGGGAAACAACAATGCTCGTCTACAGATCAATCCTCGAACAAGTGTGTGGTACATAGCTCGGATGGAGAAAACCTCTCCTTTCGCCGGGCGGATGATCCCGGAGTAAACGGAAGGGGTAAAAAAAACAGCGGAAAATTACTCAGCGGTTTCCCACGGCGATACGTTTCCGCGAGTGTTGCTTGGAGGCTTTCTGCGCTAACCGAGGATTAACGCCCGCAACTCGACCATGTTCTTCCCGTGTGCTTTGAAATAGCTTTCAGTAAGGAAACGACACAAATAAAAGCACCAGCCACGCGAACATCCCACATGATCAGCCGTCTCTCTGCGATGTAGACAAATAGTGCTGGCAGCGAAAGGATTAGGGTAAGAGTGTGCGACAGGTCGAAAGGTCCAGATTTTACGAAGAACGCCGAGCGGTGGACGCTATAGTAATGAAAACGTTGGGATTCGGGAGTATGATAAGGTCAGTCGCTTCTACGATAAGGATAGTCGCTTGTCGCCGAAACCTACAGTGCATATCTGCACACCGCCGCCAAGAAAACATCGGACACAGCGAAAGAAGTGGTGCCACGAACGCGCGCGCGAACAGAAACACAATAAACTCAAATCTCGAGAGTCCACCACCACAAGTTCAAGCACTCACCACGCACACGCCGCAGCGGACAGAACGAACGCCCCGGCTCCGGTTAAGTCTGTCACCTTGTGAGTCTTGGTGGTCGCCGTGACTCCGAAGCCGATGAGGTTCGCCCCCCCTATGACTCCTGCTCAAAATGAAGGACAATATAATCAATCCATCAGCCACAAACACCAACTCACGGGCATCGATGGCTCCTCCTGTCACCCACTCAACAGACGAAATTTTTACGCCGGTCCCCCGAAAGGTTAGCGCGGCAGCTGTACCTCACGCACGATCCCTGTTCCAGAGTTTGGAAGACGAAGGGCGTACGGCACCATCGAGGCAGCAGCCGAGGCTGTGTGTATGATGTATCACCTGAATTATTCACGCATAAATTCTGTCGAGAGTGTATGGAAGAGAGTCATGAACGGCATCGAAGCAGCAGCTGGGGCGAGGCTGTGTGTTTTTTACTGGACATAAAATAAACCTGAACTTTGACAAACCAACCAGGCTAAAAACAAAAGGAATCAAGTCCGGACACCCGGTAGAGCGCAGCACCTCCAAATATAAACTCAATGTTGCAAAATATGAAGCGATGATGGAGCCCATAGCTGGTTGCTCAACGACCGATGGTCCTGATTGGTGGAGGTCCTCACCGATTGGGTCGAAAATACTCTTGGCAGGACTCTTGGGAAAGTGGGAGCGTCAGCGCGAAATACCGCTTGCTTGATCACCGCACCAAACACGAACATCACACATACAACACACGACGAGCAGCACACACCATCCACAACTGCTGTGCGCATTAAGATGCCTTACCTCTGAGCCACACGTCAAATCGCCACTCGTGCTGAACGAAGGTCAAGTGTGCTACTGCTGTAATGGCAACATGTCCAGTCTGCAAGGAGGTGACAGCTGGAGCACATTCTTCGTCGCTTCAGTCAGTGCTTGATGCAAGGGCTTCGTGCGCTCTCCGTCTAGTGCTGTATTCCGGAGGTGGGAGGCGAAGGAATAGATGCGCACTAACGCGTACCAGTACTCAAATTCCAAAACGTTTGCAAAGCATATTGGTGCATGTAACACGATGTATCTGTGTGCGATTCAATCCCGCGACACAAACCCCAGATTTTCTTCGTTCAATCTTCACTTTGGTATGCTCGTGAATCTAAAGGCATAATTATTTTTAGGTCGTGGACCCCCACGACTTCATTAAGCCACCCGGGTTTACCCTACATCATATCATGCACATGTTGCCCGGGTTCCTCATACACACCCCACACACAAACGTACACCTAGGCAGGCTGTCACACCTCAACTCGCCACCTCTTCTCCTCTCCCATGCGTCTACGTCCTTTTCCCAAATACTTCCTCTATCGCTCTTTGTGCGCACGTACGGTTGGTTTTGCTGTTGCTGGCGAGCTAAATAGGAGGCGGTGTTCTTTTCCCGACCATTTCCTTCAAATCTCATTCAGCACCGGTACACATGTACCGCAACGTTGACCTCCGCGACATATACTGCACACACCTTCGACTAATACTGCGGTATGTACAACTAATAGTTTCGAAAGTTGGATGTTTCTTGCATGCTCTGTACATACTTATCACATGCATACATGCCCGAATAACTGACAGCTGCTGGTCCGGTTGTATCGACAGCAAATCTGCTGTATCCGTACACCCAGCTTGTTTCCGTTTTGTGGACAAGTTCGCCGAAAATGATGCCGAAGGTGTCGAGAACAGAAAGAGAGGCGGATATGACGATAGATATCTCTGTGTGCACCGAGCATGTGGAAATTGGACGGTATTTCGGACCAATTTCCAAGCTGCCCAGGGACCCGGGTAATCGGTAACGCATCCACAAAGCCAAATAGTGAGGGACCCGACGGGAAGGGTGCGTCGCATCGGTGCTTATGATGACGACGGCATCCGCTCATGGTACATGTACAGCAAGCATTCCACCCTAATTTACCAGTAACCCACACACGACGTTCAAAAAGCACAACGGATAATGAATACTCCTTACTTAAGAAGTTAGACTAAAATACATGTGGTGCCGATGACCTCGACACACGTTCAACAAGCCAAGCAACGCAGAACATGAAGGGTCTTATACCAACACCAAATCATGTCAAACCCAGAGAGATAAAGAGATCGCATCATGGCTGATCGTCGACCCTGCTGCTGTACAATTATACGCATGGTCTCTGGAAGAGAGCTCTGGGTCTGACTTGCCTGCGGAAAATAGCAGCCCCGAGTCTCCTCCGGCCATCTTGAGCCCTGTGCGCGCAGAGAATGGTCGGAAAGCAGCTGCCGCACCACCTAGAGCATGACCAAAACCAAGCATGCGTCCGGCCGCCATGTTCCAAGGCGCTGCTGGCCCCGCCCTGCGGCCCTTGGTAGCGTCGCCTGTACTTGCACACACCACACGCGTCCCCTATTCGTCACACACAGCAGGGAGCCGGCGCGTTCAGCCCACGGCACACCAGCTGAGGAAGAGAAAAGAAAGGAATGCCCCTTGGAGCTACAGCAGGGCTACGCGAACAAGGTACTGCTGTCTAACGAAGAAGCCAGTAGAACGTTGTTGTAGAACCAACCGTCACACCAGCCCGCCGGGGCAGCCTCCCTCGGTTGATGCTGCTGGTCGGTGATGTATTTGTTCGTTTGTGCCTCCAGATGAGAGATGATGATGAGTCAACGAGTCACTCGAACATTTTTTTTTTGTTGCCCACGTGACCGCACGCAGCACGTGACTGTCAAAACTTCCTGCACCCTGCTCAAAACACCTGCAGCAGCTGCATCTCCCCAGTGGTCACTAGACGACAGCCAGCCTCTTCTACAGCGGGGGAACCACACGATTTGAGCTAGGGGGGTGTATCTCGAGAGGTGAGTTGGCGACGATAGGAGTACCGCGCTCTGCCTATGGCAAAGAAGGTTGTGGTTGGGTCGGCAAGATTCTTGCCAGCCCGCTCTCTCCACACTCCACACATCTCTTCCAATTTTTCGTAAAAAACACGGCGGCGGCAGCAGTTGCGCTGCTGCTGCTGCTGCTGCTGCTCGAGGGATAGAGAGAGAGATAGAGAGGGAGAGAGAGAGAGCGCTGTGGAGCGCACACCCACGCCCAGACCGATTGAACGCACCTAGCGCGGGGTTGGGTTGATTTCAGCCAGGACCGGTATTGCACACGGATATCTTGGAGCGCGCTTCAGAACGGCGTGCACGAAGCGAGGAGATGATGCAGGCTGTGCCCCACATGAAGCGCCATAATCTGTTACGGTGTGTCTGTCACACGAAAATTACATTGCGAACTCTTACGTAGCCATTATGTTGCCTGACATCAGGCCGAAGACGGCGAGCAGTGCACCACCTCCCTGCCGCACGAAGATTGTCTTACCCGAGCAGCACGACCGCTGCTTGCTGCGATTGCTGCCGCGCGGCTGATGCTGCTGTTTGAGAAAGATGGAGAGTCCAGCGAACATCGGCAGCAGCGCGGCGAAGGATTGATTGTCGAAACTGCTTCAAAAAGATATGCACAACTTCACGAATATTTCATCATGGAAATGCACCCTGTCGCCATGTCTCTCTCGTTGCTACACAGCGACGCCCCTCGATGCTGTTCAGCCACCATCTCCTCCGGCGTTGCCGAATCCCTGCCTATGTTGCTTCCCGCTCGGTAGGCCAGAGCACCCTGCACTGACCCCATCGATAACACGAACTTTGCAAGCACCACTTCGGTATTTTTGCCCTCGCAAATCTAGCGGGAGAGGCTCCCCAAAGGACGTTGTTGTGCGGCAGGAGAGCTCCCCGTTTGTTCCGAAACTGCTGCCGCTAATGCAAACAAAAGCAGTTGTATGCATCCGAGCGAGGGCGAGGCATTTGCTCGTTGTTCGCTGTTGCATGACCGTTTCTCGGTGCTGCTTCAAAACAGAGCGCACCCGCATTGGCCGTACTGGCTATCCCGTGGTACACACATTTTTTGCACACAAGCGCTAGTTTGGTGGTGTTTGTCAAAGGATGAAGACGGAAATCTGTTTACATACAGAACATACATATATTTTCTCCCATTATTGGACGCTGTCATCTGCCTCTCTGGCCCCCATCCTCCTCTTCTACTAGTTAGACGACCCAACCGGGGTCACGTAGGAGGGGGGGGATTGGACCCCCTCCTGTGATTCCTGCCTGAGGTATTTTCATCGCGAGAAGGGTACAGCAAACCCTTCCCTCGCGACTTACGAAGTCGATCAAGTTTACTAACAACGAGCTTTTCAGCGCGTCGCTTCCATGTTTTGTTCTCTGTTTTGTTTTTTTCTCCCATCCTTGGACTCTGTCGTCTGCCCCTCTGGCCCCTATCCTCCACTTCTACCAGCTAGACGTGTGTGGGTACTGTTACGCTGCGAAACTTGGCGACGAGACACTCATGGGGAGCGACAAAGCTGGCCTGTTTCGTCGTTTGCTTCTCTCCCCAAGGCCGTTGGGAAATAAATAACCGCAGGCACGGCCGGTAGAGCGAGCAGCACGTGTGTGTGCGTTGTACATGCAATATCTGCGCGAGGATGCCAGCACTTTGTCCCAACCATGCCCGCAGCAGTGCACAGGTTTTCGGACCGCCTCAATGTGTCAGTCAAGTGAAAAATCTGGAATTAGCTTGGGCTGCAGACCCCCGCAAGCGCTGTGCGCTCGTGTTGCTGTTCTCCTGCTGACTCTGCCCCTCACCTCTAGGCCTGTTTGTGATGCTCTCCTAAGTTGCGTTTTGCAATTCGCCCAAAACATTGAAAAGGATAAAAAAAGAAAAGGATAAAAAAAAAAAAAAAAAAAAAAGAAAAAAAAAAAAAAAAAAAAAAAAGGATAAAACAAACATGACGAACGTGAGAGTACAAAGCTAAATGATGGTTGATGCGTGTGAGTACTTCCAGCCAGTGGCTCCGGTTGTAACAGCAGCAGTTTTCGCCCGGGGTGGTCTCGTCTTCACTTGATTGTGCTTTCTTTTTCTATTGAAAAGACTACCCGTTCGAGAAAGGACCGCAAAAGAGTTGTTGGATTTGTCTTCAAAAAGTTACACACGGCTGAAGTACCGGCCGCTGTACCATGGTCAGTGAGTTCTTACTTTAAGTAGTCAATGGGGAAGGAACCTGCTTGTAAAAGCAGGGCTGTGCCCCTGTCGAGAGAGAACAGCCAAGGTTCTCGTCACTCCCGAGAAAGCAAGAGGTACAGCAGCAGCGAAAACAAGATTATGGCGATGTAGCCCCCCCCCCGCCCCCTCCCCCAGACTCGTTTTTTTGTTTTTTCGTGGCAAGAGCGTGTACCCCTGCGCTACCTTCCCCCTTTGGTCGTGTTTGGTCGGTCGTCCGTTACGCGCAAACGTGTTACGGATGCTGGATGCTGCCCCGCACTGCTGTTCGGTTGTTGTTTTTGTTGTTGTCTTCACATACGGTACCTTGGTTGGAAACATCCATGCACGTTGTTTATTTTCGTTCCTTCTAATTATTTCCCACGAGTTCCAGCCGGCAGGCTATGACGTAAGCAACAGCCCTGACATTTTTCTGTAGGTGGTCGTCAGCACACTGCTGCTGCTTGCGGCAAAAAACTCATTGACAAATGATTGGCGGAGAAGATCGAGACGACAAGACAGTCGGGGCGTGGCGTGTGCCCCAACCGCTGGCCCGCCCACGCGCGTGTTAGCTTGCCACCTAAATTTGTGTTGCTATGCATTTTCTCGCTCGTGCAGACATTGGCATCTTCAGCTCGCACTCTCGCTGCCCACTTGGGGATATGGTTGGACGGTCCCCAAACTTGAACAACTCATGTTCATTCATGTTCACGCAGTGCACCAGAGCCGAATATTTTCTCGTTTGCCCGTCGTCTCTGTGCTGTAATTTTTTTCAACATCACGTGTGTTGGGTGTTGGGTACTCGGTACGTACCGCAAAAGCATTTACATCCCGTTGAATGTAGGTGTATCTCGAACGGGTATTCGTTCTGTGTATTCATGTTTCCTAATATTTTTTTATGCGTAGGTGTGTAAAATACCATGAGTTTCTGATGCCGTCATTTTTTTTTCCTTCGCCCCTACAAACCTAACAATCATTTGAGTTCAGTGAAAACACCTCCCGAGCATATGCATAGATCCGCTACTGCTGTACCGAGGAGAGCGGAAAGAGAGAGAGAGAAAGAGAGAAACACAATTACGCCTGAGACCATACGCCTCGTGCGTCGAAAAACGCAGATAGGATATAGGATAGGTGCGTGTTGACTTGTGCGGCGATCGATGCCTTGTTCTTCTTTCCCATTCCTTCTGTTGCGCCTATGTTCATGGTTGTCCCTCCTGTCCCTCCTGTCTGGGGTGTTGTTGGTTATTTGTCTTATTTTTATTATCGACAAGATCTCGGGGCTCTTCCATATCGGCGTGGTGTGCATCGCAACAAAAAGTTGTGCAGCATTTTGAGTTGTACGGCTGTGCCAAGTTCTTGTCGTGTGCGTGTTTTTTGTTTTGAGGGTTGTTTTTGATCAGGTACATCTTCAGGGTAGTACAAGAAGACACGAATTGATAACCTCTTATATTTTCGGTGGCCATCAGGGATCTGTGGACCAAGTTTATGGCGAATGCGTATCGACCAAGGATTGAAAGCACTGGCAGAAATGGCAAAATATGAATACATGAAAAAATATGGTGTGAAGGAAGGTCCGCTGACGCGTCCGGCCAGAACGAAACCGTAACCGTTGGGAGCCAACCAAGAGCGTGAGCGTTTTGGACCGGTGCCAACCGCTTCATGTGCGTCTCCCTGGAGAACTGCATGTTGATTTCAACGGTCTTGATCCTGCGTTTCGTTTTTTTACTCCTTCGAAAAGCAAGCACGCTCGCTCTCTTCCGTCGGGGGGGTGTACTCATAGTCCTGCATGCCGTAGTGGTTAGACCATTGACCTCGCATCCCTGCAAAGCCGGGACGGAGCACGCCGGGTTCTCACCGGACCGGGCTCTCACATCACCAAGCGCGAAGCGCCGTGATGTATTCGNTCGGCGAGTCGCATGAAGGGTGCGCTGCATCCTGCTAAGGGTGTTCGGCATCTTGTGCTCACTTCCTTGCATACGGATGACAGCTGCGTACGACGTAATTAATTTTCTGGTGCGTTAACTTCCTGAGACAGTTGCAAGCGCTGTGAAACTGCCTCGAGGGTGCTTGACCATTTCAACACAACGTGGTGCGATCATGCCCCTTGCGCGGAGTGAGGGTTCTCCACCCCGCACAACATGGTCTACCCGACCACCGTTATAGTTACCGCCAACAAAAAAACAGAGGTGAAAAAAAACAACCGGTAACCTGGTTGCCGAGTTCACGAAGTGAATCGGCTTGTTTTACAACGTCTTGCCAAGCGACGAAAACCNCTGTGTAACTGCCTCGAGGGTGCTTGACCATTTCAACACAACGTGGTGCGATCATGCCCCTTGCGCGGAGTGAGGGTTCTCCACCCCGCACAACATGGTCTACCCGACCACCGTTATAGTTACCGCCAACAAAAAAACAGAGGTGAAAAAAAACAACCGGTAACCTGGTTGCCGAGTTCACGAAGTGAATCGGCTTGTTTTACAACGTCTTGCCAAGCGACGAAAACCCAATCCCGATGGCAAACACCGAGGGGGGGTGGGGGGTGTACTCATAGTCATTGTCGTAGTCGTTAGACCATTGACCTCGCATCACTACAAGGCCGGGACTGAGCACGCCGGCATCCAATATCCTGTTGTTGCGGCAAAAGAACGAACGTAAAATCGTTGAGCCCGTTGTGTTGCACCTGGGAGTGCAACATTGGCCCGGCATCCATCCGCACGACCCACAGCCTGATCAAGTATCTATTTGCCACCCACCTAAGTTTGCCGGCGCTGATATGTTCTTCCTTCGATTCTTGCTTCCCCGTGCGTTGCTGTCCGCTTCGCCGTCGGCGCCAGGTTGAGGAAACCAGACTGACCTCTCTTGTAAGCCGGTCCGGAGCCACGCGGACAAGCAAGCCCCCTCCCCCCGGCGGGCAGCCAGCGCTACAGCAGGGGCACACCCCGCCCCTGGTGGACTAATGGAAGGGGGCAAGAACGGCAGCGCCTTCGATAGAACCTCGCTTTGCGGCAGGGGGGAAGACCTCCTCGTCATCGTCCTGAAGCGCAGCAGCCGGGCCCAAAGCACGGAGTGGCTCCGGTTCCCCAGGGTGCTCTCCCCGGACGCCAAGTGCCTGCTGCAGAAAAGGCAGCAGTGCTGCGGAATCCGCCGCACGGGCGAGGACATCCTCGAGTTCGTCATGGCGCGGGCGTCGGACGAGCAGTGGTGCAAGTGGCTGCGCTTGCCGTTGGAGCACGCCGTGGAGGCCGGCAAGGGGTGGTTGGTCGAGCCGCTGCTTGCGGCCGGAGCGGGGCTCGGCGGCGGCGGCGGCGGCGGCGGCGGCGGCCGAAGAGAAGGCGGGGGAAAGGAAGCGGGTACCGCGGCGGCGGCGGCGGGGGCGGCGGTGCCGGGGCCTGGCAAGCCCAGCTGTAGCGGCGGCGGTTGCAGCGGCGGTAGGTCCGCCGCGCCTTCCCCGTCGCAGGAATCCCCCGTGGTTTCTACACCGGCGTCCTCGTCGCGCGCCCGCACGCCCCACCGCACCCCCGTCAAGCAACAAGCGGGTGTGAATTTCGCGTGGGCTGGCAGCGCTCCTTCCACGCCGGCGTCGTATTCTCCCGGGCCGCCTTCTATGCGGCCGGATGGAGGCGAGCCGTCAGCTTCGTCCGGCTGCAGCAGGAACTCCGGGAGCCAAGCATCACCGTCCTCTCCGCGGTGCCGTTCTCCAGGAGCCAGCAGCTCCCCGTCGTCATCTTCTTCCTTTTTCACCTCCTCGAATGGGTCCGACCACGCGTCGTCGCCGCAGATCCCGGCGGCGGCGGCGGCGGCGTCGTCGCGTTCCCCCACGGCCGCCGCCATCGCCAGCGTAACCAGCGACCCCCTGTGCCTGCACCGCGCGACCATGGCCCGCGACGCGGGCCTTATGCGCGAGCTCCTGGCCGCAGGAGTCGACCGGAACGCGGTCGACCTCTGGGACTGCACGGCCTTACACCGCGCGGCCGAGCAGGAGCGGTCCGCGGAGCACGTGCGGCTTCTCCTGGCCGCGGGGCTGAACGTGCGGGCTCGGGACATGGAGGGTTACTCGCCGCTCCACTTCGCAGCCGCCCGCGGCGCCGAGACCGCGGTGGTGGACCTTCTCGCGGCCGGGTCCTGCCTATCGGACCGCGGCAACAACGGCGACAGCCCGCTGCACAGCGCCGTCCGGTTCTTGTCCCTCCCGACCGTGCGCATCCTGCTGGACTCGGACGCGGACGAGGCGGCCAAGAACAATGACGGTCAAACGCCGAGGGACGTGACCGGCGTGCACCCGGACGGCCGGCCGCTGGAGAATCAGCCCTGCCCGGTCGTGCCGCGGAAGATCGTGGCCCTGCTCGATGCCGCCGTGCTGCGGCGCAAGTGGAAGCGGCGCGGGTGGCTCGTCATGCTCCGGGCCAGGGCCCAGAGGCAGGCGGCTCTCGAGCTGGTCGAGGCCGCGAGGACCGGCTGCGTGGGGAACGTGAGAAAAGAGGACGAGGGCGCCGCCGCGGGGGGCAGTGATGCCGAAGCCGGACCGTGTGGGAGCGTGGCTAGTGGCGGAGGCGAACCGGAGAAGGGGTGTGGTGGTGGTGATGGTGATGGTGATGGTGATGGTGATGGGTGCGGTTGTGAAGTGGCAGTGCCAGAGCGAAACCAGTCGGAGTTTTATGAGCTCGTGGGGCAAACGACTCTTCTGACCGAGGAGGGCGTGTTCCAGAAGGTCGTGCAGTTTTTGTGAAAGCTAAGGTGAGGAAGAAAGGCGCCGGCGCTTTCGTTTTTTACTGGTGCTCTGCTGTACCGCTGCTGTGTGTGTTCTATGGGGATGGGAGAAATGCTGTCGGTACATCTCGATAGCTCGCTCGCTGCCTCTTCACAGTTTTTACCCGGATAAACGTGTTGGTATAGAAGGAATCCAGGCCGTAGAGGTGTAGCACGAACAACACGTTTCATATAGTATCTGCTGAAGAGAGGCAGCATCTGCACCCGCAAATATTGCCATTGCGATTGAGCCAAGTCTGACCTTTTCTCCATTCCGTTCCTTCCGCCCTGCCGCCGCTCCCGGTCTTGTTGCCGATGTCGCCCCCGTCTCCCCTTTTTACTCTTCCGTTTTCACCTTTTTTCTGAACCGATCAACGCGTGAGCCAGAGGCCTAGAGCCAGCGAGGTGACACCATTGTTGTATGGAGTGCGACAACAGGGATTGGGCTGTGTTCGTCCAGTCAGGTAGTGGGTTGTCATGGGTTGAATTCACCTATTGCACCTACTGATTCATGCGGTCAGATTGTTTTTTAGTCCGGCCGGCCTGAACTACTTTGGCGGCGCGTTTGGTGAGTTTGTCAGGGTTAGACGTTGCGCGGATGACAATTGTGTGTTAGTTCCTCTTTTTTTGTCGTTTTATTGTTTGTGTTTTTGTTCGTGGTACTCGTTGAAATGATGGTTGATTTTGTTACCTGGCTGGTTGGTTCAATTGACGCATGACGAATCGGTGTCTTGTCGGGATAGATGCTTGGATTCGTGAGACCGAACTTGAAGCGTAGACACTAAGAAGAGGATAGGGTTCATGATGGGGTGGGTGGGTGGGTGCGTGTGGGTCGATTGAACCGGGGTTGTATGAGGAATCTTGAGTTTCGTGCTTGGGGAGGAGGGGGGGCGCATGTGCTCGGCGCTAGGTGGGGCATTTTTTGTTTCGTTTTAAGGGGTCTCTTGTTGTGTTTTGTCGGTCTTGTTGTCTCTTGCTTGCATTCCGGACTGTTCGTGCCATGTGTCCTCGTGTTTGTTCGCAGCGTTGGGATTCGTCTTGGGGAGGCAGCGGTGACAGCAGTAGTAGTCGTAGTGGTGTACAGGGGGTCGTTGGGAGCCAAAAGCTGAAGGACGGCGACGACGAGTTGTTGTCGTGGCTTGGTTTCGCTCATCAAGTCCTCAAAAGGGTAAAAGTTTTCGAGCCATTGTGCTCCCCTTGTGTATTTGTTTTCTTGTTTCATCGGGCTTTCGATTGTTCGATCGTTCCCGAGGTGTCGCTGCCAAGAGCAGCGAGGGTTCGCGTTACGTTGCCTGTTTCTTCCGCGTTTGGTGGCACACCCGTCGCGATTTTGGCGGCACAACAACACTGGCATGGGGCGGGGGTGTTATCTATCGTCCCCCGACGTGGCCAATCACGAATTACCTTCGAGCAGTCTCATGGGGTGACTGATTTGTCTCGTGTATTTGCTTAGATCATTCTTGTTATTTTCGGGTCGATTTTACTCCCCCCCTCTTCTCGGTATCCATAGTAGGATATTTTATTGTCGGAAACAAAGCCAAGCGGTGATCATTGTATTGTCTTATTTTCGGACCGGCTTTGCTTTGGTAGTAGGAAGCCTATTTTTGTTCGACAATCAGGAACAAAGGACGGGCCAGTACACCTGTGCAGACGTGGCAATTGATGAGGACAGGAGGGGTCACAGCAGGCTCGAAAGCCTACCAAAATGGGGGGGGGGGTGAGGTTCTTCGACGTGGAAAGAGCCGTTCGAGCTTGACCTGCAGNAAAGCCTACCAAAAGGGGGGGGGGGGTGAGGTTCTTCGACGTGGAAAGAGCCGTTCGAGCTTGACCTGCAGCCTAACGGTGGAAGCGATATGGAAGTGGCAGCGTGCAGGAGATTTAGTGACTTCCAAGGGCGCGAGGGGGAGGGTTGTGTACAGGGACAAGCGGGGTATTGGGGGGGGGGG